GTTCTTCTTGTTTCTTTTCTTTTTCCTCCAACAGCTGCTGTAATCTCTCTTCTTGATTCTTTTCTTTTTCCTCCAACAGCTGCTGTAATCTCTCTTCTTGATTCTTTTCTTTTTCCTCCAACAGCTGCTGTAATTTCTTTTTTTTGTTTCTTTTCTCGTTCTTCTTGTTAATTTTCTTGTTCTTCTTGTTTATTTTGCTGCTCTTGTATTGCTGCCATAAAATCTGCTAAGCTGTAGTTTGATTTGCCGCTTCTCGTTTCCTTTTTTTTTTCGTCCCACTCTCTGACACCAATTTGTTATGTCTCTGTTCGTTTGTTAATTACTCGTAAAAATTATTTCCGAAGAACTTCAACGATACGAGTCCTTTCTTAAATAAAACTAGTTTATTCTTTCTCAATACAACTTTGCAATACACTTAATTTCCACAGTCACTTTAATAATTTAACAAACGCTATAATTCACTATAATTCACAACGAACGATTCACGCCTACTACCGCGCTTGACTCAATTGTCCGTCTCTATATCTGTCTGCCCCTCAATTCCATTGTTTGGCGCACTTATATACAAGAATACCGCACATCTAGTAAACACTCAAGCATTCACGAACCTTCGAGAATATCACGACTTGTTACTAGGGTCACGTGACTTACGCTGTCGTAACATTAGATTTTGTATATATCATACTCTGAATTCTACCACTCGCGTGTTACTTTCATTATATTTTATTTTTTGTATGCCATTCCAGTTTAAACTTTAGAGAAAGCGCAAATTTTTCAGTGTGTGAAAAGACAGTAATTTAGAATCAAATTAATAAAGTTTTAAAAACAAGAGAGGCATTATTTGTCGACCTAATCACAATAGCTGAGCTGAGGGTTACTTCAGCAAGTACCTTAACCGGAAGAAGCATTTCTAAAACTGTTAGACTGTTTGGTAGGGTGGCAAGTCACTGATTTGTGGATAAAGTTAAACATGTCTTGGACTGGTAAAATAATAGAGTATATGGATCTGAAACTTCAATAATTGTTAGTAATTTTCTAAGCCTAATTTACGTTAAATTATGGCGTGCTTTAAAGAATATTGTGTACAACATGACTCCACCCACACGCACACCTTGTCGAGAGACTCTCAACAGCACAGAGTCTTGCTGAGCCAAACTCGTACTTTACCTATTCATAGAACAGGAGTAGTTAAAATTGTTATTTCAGGCCGTGAATACGCCTTAAGAGTCAGTGAAACTTGGCTGTTGGGAAAAAATGACGTCATTAGGTAATTTATTTTACTCTACATCGGTTGAACTGAAGAACTTCCCTATATCTGTAGATTGATTAAAATGCTGTAATCATATAATTCTGACTCTCAGATATACGTATATGTGTTACTACTGTAGAACATTGACAGTAGTTTTCTGTGTAGATAAATATACATCTAAGTTATATTATTACTGACATTACTGACGTTTATTGCACACATTAACTTGATATTTATTGTTCACCGTCAAAATCAGTACAGTACAGATACGTTAACTTCGTGGTACTGTTGCTTACCGGTAAAAGCAGTTCAGCATACAAACGTTATATGCGTGTGGGAACAGGAAGTTATCATGTACTAGGAAAGTAATTTCGAGAGTAGATGACAATTTGGATTTAAATATTACATAAGGACGGCTGTATATGGTTCTTAGTATTCTCTGAGTGTCTGCACCTTTGCATTTGTTTCGTGTGGGTGGTTGGGTAAATAACCTAATTTCAAGATTACTGATTGTGATTGGCTAAGCTTTAGAGCTGACACTGTTTCTGAGAATGTGTTCTTCAGCTCTTACTGAGCTACCTGTATGACACAAAAAAAACTGCCCAATTCGAGATACTGTCCAATGTAGTAAGTGATCTTTTTTTTAACTGTTGCTTTCGAGAAGGATGTCATTTTCAATTTTTCCCTCGGTTTTGCTTTATTCAGTTGCGTCTTACTAAGTTATCTTCATTTCCAGTTAAAGTTTGTTTAATTATGTCAGTACAAAACTGGCTTCAGTTTAATTCAGTTTTTTTTCTTTAATTAATACCACACACTTTGTTTAGCAAAGTGCCATTTTTACCCATAAGTTTTTTTACCGCCTGTCTTCATTCTGCCCATACGAACTCATTTCCACCCTTTTTCATCAAATCCACAGATCTCCTGTTATTCTGCAGATCTTGATTTAGTGTGTTTCTGATTTTTAATCAGAATACCACTCTGTACACATAATTACATAATATTTATTTATTATCGACGCTACATGCAAGCTAGATGGGTACAAAGAGGATTTAATTTATAAGCAAAATACCTCTGTTACATGCATTTGTATAGTATACTGTAAAATCTATAAGGCAAGTATATTGTGTGGTAAGTGTAAAATCATAGACAAACATACTGTATAGTAAGTGTAAATTCTACAAGACAAGCATATTGTATAGTAAAATATATATAAGACAAGCATACTGTATGGTAAGAGTAAAATCTAAGAAATTACTGTATAGTACTGAGTAAAGTTTGAGACAAGCATATTGTATGGGAAGTGTAAAGTTTGAGACGGGCATATTGTGTAGTGAGTGTAAAACCTAAGACAAGATATTGTATAGTACAGTGTAGAGCATAAGTGAATCTCAAACGTCTCTTATACGCAACGTATAGACGTTATTGAATGAAATCTCACCAAATGATAACAAGGAGAGAGAGAGAGAGAGAATAAAATATAATAATCAAAACATATAAAAATATATATATATGACTTGACATTAGCCAGCAGGAACGTCGAGAGCCAGCACAGGCCCCGGGGCAAACATCCTCGCCGGGCCCCCTTTCTCTCTCTCTCTTTTTTTAACATTTTCAAGAATTTATTAAAAAGAAGATCCTAAATCAGGACAGCAACGAGCTCATACACCAGACAAAATCATAGCAGCAGCCGTTTTTACCTACCAGCATAAGCGTAAAAAACGTTAACAAAGTAACAACAAACATCTTGTTGCGTCATCGAGGTCACGTGACTGGTGTGGCGCCCTCTAGTTTCTAGAACTATCTTGTTCCTTCGTGAATGCTCTAGTGTTTGCTGGATGGGGTAGTCTGGTATATATAAAAGGGTGACAACGTGACGCGGTAATATAATGTAATGTGTGTGTAGACAGTGAGTCATTGATCTGTAGTCAGAAGTATTATTG